GCTTTCGTCTCCACTTTCTGCCTCCTTCCTCGTCACCTCCTTTGCCCCCTCCACAGCACCAACATTGAAACTTATGAAACCCACACGCACGTCTTTTTCTACTTCTGTTTTTGTCTTTTGCAAAGTTGTTTTTATTAGTTCATTCTCAAAAAGTATGAAAGGGTTGTGGAATGCCTTTCCGGTCATCATCATAAAGTGACAAATCTGAAACAAATGCAACCATGGTTCTCCATTCATTTCTCTGCTCTGAGGTGCTCAAAAATCAATTCTAAATTGTTCTGTTGTTTCCCCGTCACTCATCTGTTCAGGTTTTCCAAATAAGTTTCTTTTTGGCAAGATGTTCAAAGTCTTTATGTCAAATCAAATGTCCTAGAAACTGCATTAATTTGTCCGTCCTAAATGGTACCATAATGAGCGGCTCAAGTGGGGTTTTTTTTGTACTTCCTTGTTTTATTTTTTCCTGTCCATGAGATTGTCCCAAATCAATTAAGAAACTACATTTCTGTTGCATCTATTTTATTTTTACTATAAAATGAACAGAAATGTAGTTTCTCATGAACTTCCCGAACCACACATTTTTTAAAATGCATGCTCCCTGTTATTAGAAATGAACTTGAAAGCATTTGAAGGCTACTCTCTTTGGTGTTTCTTTAAGTTTAAGGACACCAAATCGATCATTAGAATTTTCAGAACAGAAGTTATAACCGGGATAACCCGTAGCAAAAAAACACACACACTGAAACAACAACAACAACAACAACAACAACAACAACAACAACAACAACAACAAATAAAAAATGAATTAGGGTTTATTTGATACAAATTTTGATTATTCAACTTACAGAAGCCGATAAGATGAGAAAAAGATCAGTCATGTGTAATTATTTGATATGAAGTGTGTATTTCCGTTCTTTGTTATCTCTCAACAATCGCATAGACATACACTAATATACACATAATATTACTATTGTCGATTTACTCAGTCACTCAACTTTTCTCCTACTTTTCGTTTATAAAAAAAGCGGTGGCCCTTCAGGTACATAACTATCAATAAGTAAATGACGACACCACCGTCGTACATGTCGTCCATTCAAGTACTTTTACTCCCACGCACCTTTGCAAAATAATAGGCTTTGTCTTTCAAGTACAGTCCACTTCTTCTTTTTGTCTTTTTTTCCCTTTTTGTTTTAGTGCATTCCACCCC